AGGCACCGCCTCTTTAGAAGTATTCACACAGCTTCATAGCTTTATTGTGAGAAGTAATAAGATTATGTTTATAAAGTACTTAGTACAATGTATAAAGGTGTATATAAAGCACTGGCACATCATGATTATTTAGTAAGTCGCAGCCTTTAATAATGATGACAGTGAGGTGATGAAGCCATACTCCACAGAGCCCTCAGAGTAAGAGAAAATGCAGCCGTTTTCCTTTTGGGACTTTCAGCCCTGGTGACTCCTGTAACCATGTTTCTATGGCCATTGATTTGCTGGGTAGGTACTGGGACTGTGTCCAGTAGAACTGCCACTTATATCAGATCCATGATGAAATAATGTAGTGTCCTGGGAATACACGGGCTTTGAAAGAGCACCCAGCAACCCAGTGAGGCTGTAATTTGGAAGACTTACACAGTAACTCTAAGGAAGTAGGCGTCAGAAGCTAAGTGGTTGAGTGAGGATTTGGGGCATATTTATAATATTTTTTTCTTTATATTGTGTTTTTGTTGGTTTGTTTTTGTTTTTAAGTAGGGGTAGGTTCAGGTAGGCTCGACTCTGTGTGTGTCAGTCTTCCTCTTCCTTGTTTCAGTTACAGGTTGTGTGGGTCCCCTGCACCTTTATTTTGTCATCATTAAGGTCCAGTGACCAGAGCTGCAGACTCCGTTCTAGGTTTAGGTGGTTCTATGGTTTGTACAAGAGTAACAGGAACCTTTGTGTTTCCTGTGTCTTTCTCTCTAATTATACTTAATATTTATTTGTGCTTTTGGTGACAGCTGCACATAGGTCTGGTTTTTAAGGAACCATTTATATGGAGAACTTCCATCTTCCCTTTCTGGGTTGTAATTACAGCTCCAAGCCTTGCATTATACAGGTACAGAGTACTTTTTATTATTTCTGGCTTAAAAAGAAAAAACCATGCTTTCTTTCCCTGAATCTTGCCTGCTGTGTTTCTACCCACTCACCAAGCTTTCCTGAAGTTTATTCCTGTTTGGAATGAGGATTTCACTATGCCCTTCTGAGGGTCTGTTCTCACGTGTCCTTTGGAAAGTTTTTTGTGGAAGGGAACCATTGTAAGCCACCTGTACTTCTGTGGAGTGGACTGTGCATTTTGACCTATGAGGTGTAATTCAGTTTTCGAGGTTCTTGACAACCCAGTGTCTGCCATCTCTTTCATCAGAATAACTGCTCTCATCCTGGAGTCCTTAATATCCTAGAGGCCCATTAGAATGTGTTAGCTTGAGAGCCAGTCTCCAAAGCCGAATGAGGGTAACTACAATAATGGAGCCTGTTTGCTCCTGGATGGATAGAATTAAACCAAACCAGTGTGTTAACAGTGAGTATCTCCTGCTGATTAGAAGCTCTATTAGTTTGTAAGTACAGTTCAGTTAACAGTCTTTCAAAACATAAGGTTTAAGGTGGCCATGATGTGGGAAATAATAAAGAACCCTCGATGGTGACAAAGCCAGGAATTACTGTTCTAGGTCAGTATTGTTCCGACTGTGGTCTGCAGAGCCCTAGGCCCCCTTGGGTGACCTGGGGGCTGGGCACCCTGAAATGGATCCATTTTTATTCATCTTTATGTATAAATTTTAATTTATAATGGCATTCTAACAAAAGGGTTACACTGCTAAAAACAAAACAAAACAAAAGCCTGTACCTTATCACAGTGGCTTGGCCTATATAACCTATAAGGTTGAATTCAAGACTAGACGTTTTTACCTTCCTCGTAAAAACCTCAATAAAAACCAAGGCAAATAATATCTAAAGGCTTTCTCCTGTCTTTTTTTCTAGCTTGAGCTGAAGCTGCTCTTCATTCATGGTGAAGGACCTCATGCTTCTCTAAGCTCTGTGAGAATTAGAGGGTGTCAAATGTGTTTATCTATGTTAGGTCACGTTTATCTCGATTTATCTACCAAAATGCACCAAACCTCATTTGTATCTAGATACATCTCTCATTTTCTTAACCCCCACCCCCGCAGACGTCCTGAAGCATGTTTTCTTCCATTTCAGCTTCTGGAAGTGTGGAGGAGCTGAGCAGCCCCACTGCTCTCCGGAGCCCGTCTGTCAGTGAGTTGAACCATCTGCATGCCGCCACCACGGTCCCTCGTGGGGTCCCAAGAATGCTTCAGTCTTTAGCTGTCAGCTTGGGGCCTCTAAATGAGGCACAGAGTTTCATGAAGGACTCTGAAATTGCCACGACCTCTGTGTCAGTTCATTCTTTGCCCTCTGAGGCAGAATTGGGAAGAAACAGTGAAGTAATTGGGAGTGTGGGGGATGGAGAATTCGAGCCATCCACAGAAAATGGATTTGGCCTTACATCTCCCAAGGTTGCAGTGGGATTTTGGCAACATGATTCCCCAAGTAAGTATCCAGTCTTTACTTGACCTACTATGGGCATTGAAGAATTGTTGGATTTTCTTAAGGAATTGCTTCAAGAATATTTACACTCTCTTAAAAAAAAGTGTCTTCTTAGGTAACACCATCTCCTCTGTCTGGTATACCACATTGTTACATTTTAAAAACAAATTTTTTTTATTATCAAATGTACATTACAATGTTTCAACAGTCCCCCTCCCCCTCGTCTCCCCACCCCTGCCCGTCCACTCCCGTCTCCCTTGGTAATCACTAGTCACTTCTCAGTGTCTCTGAGTCTAATGCTGTTTTGTTTCTCCTGTTTTGCTTTTTTTTTATTCCACAAATAAGTGAAATCATATGGTATTTGTCTTTCTCCACCTGGCTTATTTCACTGAGCATAATTCCCTCTTGATCCATCCATGTTGTTGCAAATAGCAGGATTTTTTTTTCTTTTATGGCTCAATAATATTCCATCTGCACTGTCACATTTTGGTCTTCATCCTTGTGAGAACATGGTGAGGTTCCTCCAGCTTTCTTACAGATGAGAGAAGTAAGGCTCAGAGGCTTTGAGCAACGAGTGTGTGGTCACTGAGCTCCCAGCAGAGTTGAGACCTCGGCCTTGGAGGTCACTGTTGATTGCATTCTGTCACTGGACAGCCCACCTTCAAAATGAGAGCTGGCTGGCTCCTTAAAACTAGCTTGAGCTATTGTATGTCCAGATCGCCTGACAAATGAAAATGTGCAGATGTAAACAGATTCCCCATATTCATGGTTTTAGGATACTCCCTATAGTTTAATTTTTGTTTGCTATACTTTAAAAGTAGAATAATCTTCATTAATAATAGGACTCTTAAAAAATGCTTCTGACTGGAACACTGTATTTAAGCACATCATGTTTATTCGACATAACACACTCTAGCCCTTGACCATTTGGGGGAAAGAGAATAAAACATTCAAGCCTTTAAGTTACTCTGCTACTTTGCACATGCTGTTAAAAAGCAAATCCTTCACTAACACTTATTTTTAGTATTGGTGTCTTATTGACACTGAAGAGCTTTGAAATAATTATTTTAGAGTATGAGATTGCTCATCAGGTTACCCATACAATAAACACTATACAAGGTCCTTATGAAAGTGATCTTTCCTGGAGGGTCCTCGTGCCTCAGTTACTGAGGGATCTGTTTCACATCCATGTAATGGCATTTTTTCCCATTACAGCCTTGGGAGGACACCAGCTGGCCAGCAGCTCAGATGCAGAGAATGCAAGTCCCATGTCTCACACTGAGGCTGTGTCAAGGTCAGTCCCATCGGTCAAGGGTGGAGAGGACACAGCGCGCTGGGTCTTGACCAACAGCGAGGCATTCACAGATGTGACAGAAAGCTCTAGTTCCTATCCTGATGTTGGGAACACTTCAGTTTTGACCCAGTTCTCAGCCTCTGCCCCACAGTCCAGAGGAAGTGACACAGCGCTGGGTGATAGGAGTTACTCTGAGCTGGCCACCGAGTCTCTGTCATCATCTTCCTCCGAAAGCCTGGATGCCTCAGCGCCACGTGGTGAACGCTCGAGTGAGTTTCCACTTCACAGAACTGCCCCTGTGGAGGGCACAGGGCTTCTAGGCTTAGGATCTTCCATGGCAGAGTAAGGCCATGCACTAGCGAAACTGCTTCCTGGTCCCCTCTGCTTTCAGTATGCTTAGGCTGTTCTTCTAGCTGGTCCACACAGGTGTACGTGCGCACCCCCAGTTTTTCCTGTTACATCCCCAAGGAGTTGCTGCCCCCAAGCTGCTGTCTGCTCCTCCGACACACAGCTCAGGCGCATCTCTGCCCATGTCCTCCCACCCCCTGGGACCCACTCACCCCGATACCTGCCTCGATCACACAGCTTCTGGAAGGTGAGACTCTCATCCCGAGTCTGGCACTCATCAAGATCAACTCTCCCTCCCCCTTTTTTTAAATGTCTTTATTGAGAAGTGAGTCACATTCTATACAACTGGCCCATTTAAAGCAAATAATTCAGTGGTTTTTAGTACATTCGCAAAGTTGTACAACCATCCCTATTATCTAATTCTAGAACAATTTCTTCAACCAGAAAGAAACCCACTGCTCATCAGCAGTCACTCCCTGTTCTTTCGTCCTCCCAGCCTTTGGCAACCACTAATTTACTTTCTGTCTCTATGGATTTTTATGGAAATGGAACCATAGGATATGTGTGGCCTTTTGTGTTTTTCACCTAGCATGTTTTCAAGGTGCATCCATGTTGTAGCATGTGTTAGTACTTTCTTTCCTATTCATGGCCAAATAATATTCTGTTGTGTGGATATGCCACATTTTATGTATCCTTTTATCAATTATTGGATGTGTGCATTGTTCCCACATTTTGGCGATTACTAAGAATACTGTTGTGAACATTCAGGTACAACTTTTTTTGTGGACGTATGTTTTCAGTTTTCTTGGAATTGCCAGGTTATATGGAAGCTCTATTTTAGATCTTTGAGAAGCTGCTAAACTGTTTTCCAAAATGGTTGCACCATTTTATATTCCCAGCAATGTGCAAGGATTCCAGTTTCTCAGTACATTTGCCAACACTTGTTATTAATCATCTTTTTTTATTATGGCTATAATCGTATACCTAGTGGGTATGAAGTGGTATCTCACATGGTTTTGATTTATATTTTCCAGCTGATGAATGATGTCAAGCATCTTGTCATTCTCATTGGCCATTTGCATATCTTCTTTGGAAAAGTCTATTCATGTATTTTGACCATTTTTAATTGGGTTGTCTTTTTTTTTTTGTAAGAGTTCTTTGTATATTGTGGATACTGGTCCTTTACCACATATATGATTTGCAGGCATTTCTTCCATTCTGTGGGTTATCTTTTCACTCTTTCGATGATACATATCATTTGCAGTGCAAAAGTTCTTAATTTTGATGAAATCCATTTTATTGATGTGAGAAAACTTTTCCTTTGATGTTCCTTTATAATGTTGTTTTGGGGTATTTTTTGAAAACAATTCTCAGCAACTTTATCAATGTAAAGTGTATGCTGACTAAAGCAGAAATGCAGTAACTTATCATTTATGTTTATAATAGGTTTAGATTCTTACCTCTCCACCACTAATCATACCAGCTCTGCTTCCCCATTGTGAGCATCCTGATGAGGAAAACTAGCATTTATTCCTACTGATGTGACAATATGTGTTTATCATGAAAGACTACCACATGTATGGGTGGAGAATATTTATGCTCTTTTATGTCTGTACATGGAAAACACATCACCTGTCTCCTAAACAAAAGGAGTCATTTTACGCCCTCACAATGGTGGGGCTTGGAGCTTTTACCTTCTCACACCGGGAGCTTAGTTGCTCAAGCCTTTCCCTTCTCCATCTCTTCAGTGCCCTTCATTCTGAAGTTAATGCTCAGTTGGTTGGTGTGGAAAATGTGATCTCGGTATAAAGAGCTAGAAAAGGAATCACCTCATTCCTGGAACTGCCTCCCTGTGGGTGAACACAATGCCTTATCTCGTTTCCTCCAAGTCACCCAGAGCTGACTGATTTCTGCCATCCGGCCTCGCCGAGTTTTTGATCCATCCCTTTTTCCAGGTTTCAGGGCAGTCCCTCTGTTTCGGGTCCTGGCTCTCTGCTTTGTGAAGTCTGGGAGCCTAAAGGGGTTGGTTGGTTGGTTGCCTTAATTTCATTTAACAGAGCCTATACAATCTCCACACCCCAGGCCTCGTCCTCTTTGTCCAGGGACCTTGCACTCAACTTGCAAGCCTCTCCTGGTAGATGTCCCATGGATCTCTTTAGCCTTCAGCCCGGGCCAGGTCACCTCTCTTCCTGTCCCTGGCTTTCTCGGTGCTGCTCCATGTCACTGTGTATCCCCATCCCCATGCTCATTTCTGTCTGTCACTTACTGCAAACCTTTCAAGAAGTGACCTTACCTAACACTCAGCTTTACATCTATTTTCTGTCAAGGTGTGTCCATTGGGTATCAAGAGCTAGTCTGGACTGAGAATAGGAATTAAAACCAGGAAAAGAAGCTGTTTTCTCATAGAGCCAGATTATGAAGTATTTAGGCCAAGAGGAATCAGACCTCATTTACATCATTTCTGAAAAGAATGAATTACTTGATAATCTAATAATATAAGACTCTTTAAGTTTATAGCTTAAAACATATACCCAAGAAAGGTATTCTTTATTCATGTGTCATCTGCCCCTGTTCCATGCCCACCAACAAAATTTTTAAATGCATTAAAAAAAAAACACAATGCACTTTTAACCTCCGACCACAGAATACCGTTTCTCATTGAAGTGTTCAGGCAAAGAACTTGTGCTGTAAAAGAGTGACAGGCCCTTTGGCCCTTCAGGTGTCACTGTCCTTCCAGGAGGTAATGTGGGCCTCCCTCCTGGGCTTCCTTAGATCTAAAACCCCAGTAGGGTTGTTGGTCAATCTTTGACTGACCATTCACCCCCCCGCTGCCTCCACCAATTTTCATGACCTAAACTATTGTGTATCACTGAGCATAAATACAGTATTGATCCTGTTCCCCGAGGTAACACACTCTCCCATAAAGCCAGGTCACCTGAACAGAGGTGCTGAGCTGCAGCACCTCCTGGGGTTTCAGATACTGGTCCCCGTTTGCAAGAACAGCACCCATTCTGGTTTTGCACATGGTGAGTTTCAGATTAAGACTGAAAGCACAGGGAAGCGTTCTGGCCATCACAGGCCCGGAAGTGAGGCTTATTCCCGAGACTCAGGCACAGCACGGTCCTCTACCCCTGCACTGACCCGCATTCCCTTTGCAATCCAATCGCAGCCACTGAAGACAGTCCGGAGCGCCGTGTCAGTGCCGTTGCAGGGGAGGCCCCTTCCCGGCGGACGCAGGCCGGAGCTCTCAGCGCACACACCTCCGCCGCCGCCGCACCTGGGACGGTCGCGGGGACTGGGGAGCTCGCGCTGCGGTCTCTCTCCAACGCGAGCACGACTTTGGGGGCGGCGGGGCGCTCTGCGACAGCGCCCAGGGAAGCAGAGAGCGCCACACCGCGCGGGAACGGGACCGGGGCCGCCTCTGCCACCGCGCCAGCCGCCGCCCACCCGGGCACAGGGTCGCTGGCTGCCTCGCATACCCTCGGAGGTGAGGCAGGATCTCTCCCCATGCGCCCTCAGCTCACCTGTTAGTGTGTGTGCACAGTCCCAGAATGACGATGGTCACTGTCCATCCTGAGAGCACCTGACCCGCTCTTTATGAAGAGCCCCTGCTGGATTCTTCCCTGGCCCAGCCTGGTGTCCCCCCTGCCCCCCGCTGGCCTGGGACTTTGCGATGTTGCCACAGTAAAGGAGCGCGGCCTTGGCCAAGGCCAATCTCCCTGGCCCTTCTCTCATTATACTGAATGGAAAGTTGGGAGGGGTTTCCTTTTTCCATTTAGGCAGAGAGGCTGTTCTAGTTGGGGTCCTAAGAGCTTTTCAATATGATACCAGTTTGCCACTATCAAAGCTCATGGAAGGAACTGGATCCTCTGGCCCCACTTTTATTTCCATTTCCACTGCTGCCACCAGGCTTCTCACTGGAGCGTAAGTCCGCTCAAGGCTGACTGATCCTTGCGGCCTTCCCCTGCTGTCTATCCAGAGTGCCGGCCATTGAAAACCACTCTCCCAGGAAAGTGTTTCACCCACTGGCATTCACAGATAGGACATTGAAAGTCTATTTCATAGTGTGTGTGCAGGAGATTTCTTGTTTTGTTGACCCAACTTTAATTTTTCCATTCATAGTCACTGGAATTAGCCATGATCAAGTGAGTGGCACAGATATTGACCAAAGGACTTCCAGCGACCGCACGGACCACACCTATGTGACCTCTGCTATCACCAAAGGAGAACGGGCTTTACTGTCCATTGCAGACAACAGCTCGTCCTGGGACATAAGGGAGAATTCCACCTCTTCAGTTAAGATCTCAAACTCTTCACATTCCAACTACTCTTTCTTTTCTCCAGCTCAGACTGAAAGAAGTAATGTTTCATCCTATGAAGCGGAACACGCTCAGCCTTCCACTGAGTCGCTGGTGCTGCATGCAGCCAACCCTCCATCCTACACCCCTGCCATGAATACATCAGACACTACAGCTTTTTTGGATGTGGACGCTGGGTGGGCTGGTGGTGCGTCTTCTTTGGGGCCCCCTTTGCCTCCACCTTCAGTGTCACAGTCCCACCAGATATTCTCATCAATCTTAGCCACAACCAGGGCCTCTGCTCATGCAATGCAGTCCAGCCCTGATGCACCCACATCTTTGTCTTCCTCACCACCACCTCTACCAGTATCCCTGACAGCTTCCACCCCTTCCTCACTGTCTACTGCCCAAACAACTGTACCGCCTTCACCTTCTACCCTGGCCATGCCCAGGGCAAAGGACTCTCCTGTGATGTCAGTTTGGACGTCGACAGTGGCCTTATCCACGGCAGCGCTCCCCATAAGTCAGACAGCAGATCCTGAGAATCAGAGCAGCACACGCCCTGAGAAAGTTGTTACGGAACTGAAGCCGCCGAACCTGGAGTCTCTGCCCACAGAGGCCACTGAAGCTGTGACAGCGAGGTCTACTTCACGGTTCCCTATGCCCACAGCCCTAAGAGAGGCTTCTGCTGAGCCAGCCCTTCCAGCCACGGGCGCCAGCGTAGCCCAAATGTCTCCAGCTTTGACAACCACTGCTCTCAAGACCTCTCAGCCCCCCATGACCACTCCAAGCCCCCCGACAAGCATAGCAGCTCTGATGGCAGACTCCACACCAGTACAGACAACAGCTGAAAAGCAGCTCTTCCCAACTAGGCCTGAAATTCTAGCCCCACAAATCTCAACAGAAGGTGCTGTCACCACAAAAAGGAGCCGAGTCCACGTAGATGCCAGCACCCGACTGATCCCTCTGACTAGTGTGCCCACCACAAGGCTTGGCATTACAGAAGAGCACAGCCCCGCTTCCCATTTCCTCAGAACATCCTCTGCCCAAAGCACAGGTGTTCCTACAGCAGAAGCAGTGACTCCTAAGTCTACCACCCTCACAGCTCAGAGCAGCACGGAGCCACCGACAGAGCTGTCCCCTCCAGCCTCAGGTAGCACACACTCACACAAGCACACTGGTTGCTCAGGATCCATGTGGCTGCGTGGCAGTGTCCAGTATTTGCAATAGTGCAGGGTCTGTTTTGTGATCTCAAATGTTTCCTGTTGAAACACTTAAAGCATAAAATGACATCATGGTGGAACTGGTTTTCTCATCTCAGAGTTAAATGATTCTTTCTGAAGAAGGAGGAGAGGATGGCATTGGCCATGTGTGCAGTCAGTAGAGAGTGAGTGTAGTTTATAAAACCCTGTCACTGCAGAGCCTTTTAAGCAGGCCTTTCATTCTCCAAGGCCAGAGTGGGGCAGTGATGTGGGATTAGAGAGTGGAAAAGCCAGAGCCAGGAAGCTTAGGGTGGCCTGAGACATGGAGTGAGTACGTTCTGCTCTCAGACCAGATCCCTGAGCTGCTGAGACCGTCAGCCAGCCCATCAGTCACCCGGGAAAGCCCAGTCTCCTGTTTCTCCCTAAGATTGTGTTGCTAGTTGATAAATGCTGTGGGGAGACACATTCAGTAAGAGGCTGATGAACTGACCTTCTCCCACAGTGACGGCATGAGGTTTTTACACTGTACTTGAGGTTATCTTTGTGCCCATGTTAAAGTTGCTGGTACGAAGGAAGTAAAACCACCCAGGTGATTCTTATCATTGAAGGAAAGGTGGAAGAAAGGATGATGTATCTTTTGATGTCATCTTCAAAATTGTATGTTTGGTTTGTCCAGACCCAGGAGGGAAGTCCGATTTGGTGAAGGGCAAAATGGAAACTGACGGCTTAAGGAAGAAAGAGAGGAGAGAAATGCATTGTAGTGACTAGAGCAGGGAGCTCGGTTAGTGTCCCAGTTCAGCTGCTTAGCCATGACCACCCTATACTCCCCCCCACTGCCAGCCCCACAGGGCCATGATGCTTCAGTGCCTCCTTTGTACCAGTGACCCTAGCACCTCTGGGGAATGAAAGGTGGATGCTTCTCCAGGAAAGTTTAAGAGACCTGCTTCAGGACTCTCAAGGCTTCATTTCCAGAGGCCAAACATATCCCAATACCAGATGGAACATAATTCACAAATCTCCCTTAAAGCCGATTATAGCCGTCGTAATGAGAACTGGGGGCAAGTATTAGTAGTATCATTACTGGCTGTGAATAGGATTTTGGCGACACTGTCCACAGGTACAGTGTTTGGTCATATAGGTGCTATGCTTCTGATGGTGATTTTAGTTGTATTTAAAATAGCAATGCAGAGTAGGACCATCATCTTCACGATTAGCCCATTTGTTTTCAGGGTCCTTCTTTTGGAGTTAGAACTCTTGGCTTCCGCCTTCTTGTCTCATTCTACAGCTGATTTTTGTCCTTGGAGAAATGAGTCCAGTGGGACTCACTGTCACATTATGTAAAGAGAGAGTAT